CTCCACCCGGGGGGGCCCGCAACCGCAGCGCCCCCAGCGCCTGCGGGCTGCGCAGGGACGTGACCGTCGGGTTGCAGCACAAAGGGGCTCTTAGCCGCTCCCTGTGGCCACTGTTCACCTGGTGCTCACCTGGCGCTCACCTGGCGGGACCTGGCCCTAGCGTCCGCCAGCGAGGGGAGTCTGAGCAAGCGCCCTGGAAGGCCGTGGGCTGGGTGTGACTGGGGGGTCCTGGGGCAACCGGGCGCCTCTGATGCTCTTGGAACAGGGCCAGCAGCTGTGTCAGGGATTCTTCGCCAGCTCAGCCCAGCGGACTGGCCAGCCCGGCAGGGCCGCCGTACTGGTGGTGCCCACTTGGGCAAAGGTGTTTGTCACCTAGTGGAGGACCTCAGTCGTGCTTGGAGAGCAGATCCAGCGGCACAGGCCAAGCTCCGGGCTGTTCTGGATTTGTCACTGGCGTTCTGTCTGGCTCCCTGGAGATGCTGGGCTGATGGTGACCTCTGTCCTCAAGTGCGTTCTGGTGACAGCTGGAAGCAGCTCTGTCGGTGGTGAGCCCCTGGGGGCGGGGCCCCCACATGGCCCAGAGGGAAGGGACTCCTTCTCAGGGAAGGGGTCCCCGCAGGCAGGCGCTTCCCAGGCCTGGTGAGAGTCCCGCTTCTCCTCCCACGGACCCCAGGACAGCTGTCCCCCTCAGGCCTGGCTGCGGAGTGGTTCTCAGCTGCCCTGGGAGATGACAGTGGCCCCAGGAGAGTGCTAGGTGCAAGTGTCTGCCTCGCAGCCCTGGAGCCACCGGAGGGAGGGCTGGGCTTCCAAACAGTTGTCCCTGCCCAGAGGCTTTCTGTAAGGGCTAGCTAGCTTGTCTCCTTTCTCTCTTTCTCTCTCCTCCTTCCACACTAGAGATTAAACCCAGGGCCTTCATTACACCCCAGCCCTTTTAAAATTTTGAGGGAGGGTCTTGATGTCACTGAGTTACTCAGGCTGGGCACAAAGCTTTGGTGCTCCCACCTCAGCCTCCCAGTGCACTGTCTCAGAATAAAAAATAGAACAGGGCTGAGGGTGGAAAGGTCCTGGGCTCAGTCCCCAATGCCGCAAATAAATAACTCGCTCCCCACATGCAAGTGCACCCCCATTTCACAGGGGGGAAACGGAGGCCTAGGAAGGAGGGAGGAGCTTTCTCTGCTGCCTCTGCTCCTGGGAGAGGTGGGCAGTTCCACGGCCAGGGTGCAGGGACCCAGGGTTCTGCCCAGCCCTGGTCTCTGCCCCACCCTGGTACTGCTCAGGAAGTGTTGAAAGAATAGAGCTTGCCACCAGCCCCTTGGGGGAGGGACACTGCCCTGCTGTAGTGCCGCATTTGGGAGGCTGGCCATATTTTCTGTTTAAGTGCCGGAGCCCGCAGAGTCCTGGGGATAGCCATGACACCAGAAGAAGCTTTCTCTAAGATGGGTGTGTCTCACCTGCAGGTGGTGGCTGTTCCTGTGTGTCCTGGGGTGTCCACCTTGGCAGGCAGCCCCCCTCCCTGGGGTTCGTCCCCACCCCCCAGCCTGAGGACAGAGGAGAGCCCTCCAGGGTATTTGCTGGGGCCCGCCAGGTGGCACATGACATGGGGTGCCACCATCAGGCCGAGGTGGTGCAAGCTAGGGGGATCACGGGAGCCTGGGCTGAGAGGGGAGAGGAAGCTGGTCCTGAGGGCGCTGGGAGGGCCCTGGAGTCCCTGCAGCCCTGTTAGGCCAACTCTGTGGTGCCCAGAAGGTACCGTGAAGCTGCCCTGTGCCCTGGAGGCAGCCGGCACCTGCTTTGAAGTCAGGTTGAGCTGGCTCCTGTTTAAAGTGGGGACGCGGCCTCACTGGGCCTGGTGGTGAGGTAATGAGGCCCCAAGTTCCCCAAAGATGGCATGGGGGGACGCTGCCCTGCCTTCCAAACCCCAGAGAAAGAAGCCAGCGGCCAGGGCGGGGGGTGGCAGAGTGGGTTGGCACAGCTGGGGTGAGCTTTGTCCTCGTCCTCCTCAGGGCCTGGAATTCAGCCCTGACACTGTCATGTCACCTGTAAATAAAACAGCCTTGACTCTTTCATGGGCTGGTGCTTAAAAATAGATGAGGTGCCACCCCGGGCCAGATTCCTGGGCCTCAATGGGAGGTGGAGCAGACTCCCCAAGGAGCTGGGAGGGGGCCAGCCGGGTCAGGGCACAGCCCCGTGGGTGTTGGTAGCGTCAGAGTCCTGAGTCAGGAGGCCAGGGCGTGGCCAGAGCGACACCCATCACAGGACTCCGGTGGAGGCTGCTGGGGGGCTGCCCCACAGGGGTGCAGGGAGGGCCCTTTCCTGCAACCAGAAGAGCTATGGCCCCACAGCCACTGCTGCTACAGTGACCCAGATGGGGGCTAAGGAGAAGGTTGCAGGGTGGTTGTGTCTGGAGTCCCAGGCCACTGCTCAGGCCCAGCCCATGCCAGGACTGTGGTGCAGAGGAGCAGAGCCTGGGTCCCGGCCAGGCTGCCCAGCACTGCATGTGCCACTGGGTGACCTTGGCTAGGGGTTCCTCTGGGCCTCTTTGGGCCTTGGTTTATAGTCATGCATGGGGCCAGTGATAGGGTGATGCTGTGTTGATGGGTATGGCTTGTGTGTCCCCCACCATGGGAGCTGCTGTGGTGGTGACAGGGTGAGAGTGCTCCAGTTCTTGGGCCGCCTGACCCCTGGCCCAGCTGGCATCCCCAGTACCGCCAGCTTCTCTGGTTTCCCTGTGGGTGAGGGGCTGCCCTGCCCAGCAGAGGTGCCAAGCCCAGCACTCACCCGGCAACATTCCAGAGCCCTCCACCATGTGAACAGCACAAGGCCCGGACTCCCCAGGGCTGTCCCGTCATCCTGACACTGTCCAGGGAGGCCAGAGGCTGGGTCCTGCCTGCTGCCTTTGGCTGCCGACAGCCTTGGGCAGGCCCTTCCCTCAGGTCGCTGTCCCCTCAATGAGAAGGACAGCCCTGAAGGATGGCTGCCATCTCTCTGGGAAGTGTCACCGTGGCCCTGCTGGACATTTTCCACCTCCCTCAGACTGTGAGCCACACTCCTGGGTGGGCTGGGTGGCCCATGCTGGCCTTCCAGGGAGTCCAGAAGGGGTCAGAGTGGACCCTGCATCCTGGACCAAGAGGGAGGAGGGCAGAGTCCTGGGGTTCCCTGGCCAGGGGGAGGTGGCTTCCTGCCCAGCCCGGGGAATGTTGGGGACACGGGGCTCAGTACCACAGGTGGGCACCAGGCCACAGGGAGAGGTACCAGTGCCCTGGGTGCAGGCCGCAGCGACCCCAGCTACCCACCACCGGCTTCCTTCTTTATCCCTAGAGAGGCTGCTCCAGCCAGGAGGTGCCTGAGTCTCCCTCTGCCCTGCTGCTCCCTAACGCAAGGACAGGTTGTCCACATACTGTTGGGAAGCAGGAAGTGACTCAGCCCCTGCCTCCAGCTGCAGACGGTTGAATTCCAGGGGGATGTGTGACTCCCTTGTAACCTGGGCGTCTCAGTGGGAGTACATCAGCTGGTGGTCATAGCCCCTGGGCAGAGGGCGACAGGAGCTGCACAGGACCACATGGCTCAGCTGTGCAGGTTGTGCACTGCACACATCTGGAAAGCTGTGAGGACTCAGGGTATGAGGGAAGTGGCTCCTTCCACAGTGAATGGATCCACTCCCTGGTCTTTGATCTTTGCCACTTCTTACTCCACACAGGCCTCAACCCAGCAGTCCTAAGCCGGTCAGTAGGCCAAGCCCTCCTGCCTCAGGTGAGCAAGAGGCAAGGTCCAGGAGAACCGCCTGCTTCGTGCCCGCGGGGCAGGTGTGGCCGTCACTGCTGGGGCCCCAGCTGTCCCACCAGGTGGTGCAGAGTCAGACAGGTGTGGCCTCACGTTGGGGTTTAAAGGGCTCCCAGGCAGCTTTGGGAACGTGCTTGCTTTTAGACCAGCCATGCTGCCTCGAAGTTCAAATCTCCGCAGGCCCTGACTTCCCCTATCCCCAATCCCACCCTGTGGTCGTGGAGGAGGCACAGGCCACACCGCCACCTGGTGAACAGGACCGGAACAGCAGGCTCAGCCCCGTTTCCCAACTGCCCACACCGCGCCGGGTGTGGAGGGGGGGCCTTGGACACCGCCTGTGCCCAGGTGACCCTGGGGGCCGTGCCCGCAAGCTCTGGGGACGAGGAGCCCCTGCCGGGTTCCCCACTTCCTCAGGTCCTTGCACCCAACCCCACCCCAGCCTCACAGGACTCACACACAGGGCTGCAGGAGTGGGGCAAGGGGTCCCTTCCCCTGAAAATGCTGAGAACTCCACTCTACTCCTGCCCTGCTGTAAAGACAGAGACAGCATTCAGTCCTAATGGGCCAATCTGTTCTGGTTTTTTTGTTTGGTTTGGTTTTTTTTGAGACAGGGTCCTTGCTCTTTGTTCAGGCTGGCCCTAGCCTCACTATGTGGCAAAGGTTGGCCTTCAATTTGTGATGATCCTCCTGCCTCAGCCTCCCGACTGCTGGGATTACAGGTGTGTGCCACCACACCCAGCTACTTCTGGTTTACATGTGTACTTAGCTTTGGTACTGGGGACAAAAGACAGGCCCTGTGCGTGCCAGGCCAGTGTGCCACCACCGAGCACACCCCAGCCCTTCATTTATTTTATTATTTTGAGACAGAGTGTTGCTAATATAGCCCAGTAGGCTGGCCTCGAATATGCATTCCTCCTGCCTGCCTCAGTCTTCCAGTCACAGGGATTAAAGGCTTCTGATTTTAAAAGTGATGAAAACATTTCCAAGGGCCCTTAATTAAAGCCCTGTGGCCCAGGTCCAGGCCTGGAGCACAGTTGAGCCCAGCTCAGCCCACATTCAGCAAGGATCCCAGGGATTGAAGGAGGTCAAACCCTGCCAGGTGCAGGCCGACACCGGATGTATGGGGGGGGTCCCAGAGCATTCCGCCCTGTCCTGGGGTGGAGGGCATGGGCCAGACACGAGGCCTGGAGTCCTGGTGCTGGGCAGGGTGGACCCACGGCCACCTCAGATAAGCCCTGCCAGTCAACTACACCCCAGCTGCATGCTATCTTCATCATTGGGCAGGAGCCATGGACGGGCAAGACAGCAGCATGCAGGGACCCTCCAGCCAGCCCCAGGCAGCCTCAGATCCCTTGGCCTCTGCAGCCCCACTGTCGCCCATTGCCCCTGCGCTGCCTGTTAGTGGGGCAGCTTCGGAGAATCTGTCCTGTGGGGAATTCACAGTGGGCTGTGTGGTCCCCAGGCAGCACTGGGGAGGCTGCAGTGTGGACACAGCTCCCCTCCAGCACCGTGAACCTGAACCTGCTGTCCACACCCATCTTGCCAATGTGACGGTGCCCTGAGGCTCTGGTCTGACTGTTGGCGCT